TTCATCAATAGTTTAGAATTACTTCATGAGCTTTTAATGCTGAATGTCTAAAATTTGTTCTTGGTGACTTTATTCCATGCAAGGACAAAAGATTACCCTTCAAATTTCGAGATGTAATTCCTTCAAATAATATAATATATTAAATTTCTTTCGCTTAAAGATAATAAACTTGGTATTAAATAATACTTACCTCGATTCACCCTATTTTTTTATATATCATGAATTATCAATCGTAAAGCGCGAAAAAAGACTGTATGAATAATAATAATGATAATAATAATACTAATAACAATAATAATTATAATGATAATAATAATAATAATAATCGCTATTAGGAAATATTCGACCTAGTAAGATCCAATGTTTCTATTAATAAAAGCCAGAAATTGTTGAAATAAGTAAGACCAGAAAAAACTTACCAGGTATAATAAAATTTTAACACTCTCCATATTCGAAATTCTTCAAATTTGATAATAAAAGAATGTTTTTTAATTCAAAAAAAATCACCTCAAAAAATCGACGAACAAACCTTACTTTTAGGCTGAGGATCACACGCCTAATTAAGCATTTATTAATTGTTTTTGTTTTGCGACCGCAAATTTGAGTTACTTAACAATGAATTAATGAAATATGGTTATCACAAGATCAAATATTGGTGTCGCGAAAGAATATGCATGTATAGTAAATGTGTGAAATTAAGATAGTGCGCAAGATTTGTAAGGCGGCTGTCTATTAAATAATTATAATTGATAATTAATATTAAAAAACATTTAATTTATTGAAAGTATAATATAGTTACCTGGATAAAATAATGTAGTAGTAAATTCAATAAATTGCTTTTATAAATATTAAATTATGATATGTTTGTAGATATGTATTTTTAATATTTCTTCTAATTTAAATCTGAAAATATTTTCATTATTCTACCATTCTGTAAGAGTTTACAGATTTTATTGCTGATGGATGGTTTACCGGTTTTTTTTTATCCAAAATTTCCTCAAGTAAATCGTATAGTGTCTCGAATCATAAATCTTTCCAATTCTTGATTATAAGTTACAGATTTTCTATGTAAAGTTTCTATGCCGAATGAGTAGCATATAGTAAATTCCATAAATTTCACGGCATCTTGTCTTCGATACTATACTAAAGCCCTATTAAAATGATCCATACAGAAATGCATGATATAATCTATAGATCTAATTGAAAACTTAAGCTAAATTCATTGATTTTTTGAGAAAATTTGATAACAGTTGGCTAAAATATAGGATAGACCCACTTAGTAACAACATGATCAAAAATAGCTTATTAATAAGCACTAAAACAGCAAACAACAGCTCTACTGCGAAAATATTTTGATTATACTAAGTCCAGAATATTACAACTTTTCTATAACTGAATATTTATGCTTATGCAAACAGTTGCTATTTTGTACAATAATCTACTTGTGGAAAAAAGTCAAAAGTGTCCTAACAGGTAAAGTTTTGACTATTCCAAGTTTAGTTGGAATTTTTAAATCTAAAGTGATTTCGTCACATTTCCTAATCGCAATTCTAGTATCTTGTTGTTTATTCTGTGCAATAAGAACATCTCTAACGGCTTGGCGTATAAAAGTACCGAGCTTTGTAATTATTTCTGAATCGTTATTTAATACTGGCAAATCGGTAGCTTGCAAATGCACCCTGAGTACTTTTTTCCAGGTTACTTCGCTTATAAATTCGGATAAATGACTAATTGTCAGTTCTTCTTCTCTAAAAATTAACCAATACAATATTTACCCAAAATAATTCTCCAGGGCGTTATTTAGAGATATGCAATTTGAAGAGTAATTTAATATTAGCCCTTTTCAATTTGCATATTCCTAGATAATGCCCCGGGGCATTATTTTGGGCAATATAGTAATATTATCTTTTAAATTTTCTGTTCAATTTTAAATAATACTTGTAACTACTCAATACTTACTGTTGATGTGTTGCAGCAAAATCACCTGCAAGAGATGTAATAGCAACATGAAGATTGTGACGGTAAACATCGAACCAACTACCCATGTCTTTGACTAATGTCACCATACGATAATCACTTTTCCGAATTTTGCATACTTTTACGGCTAGCTCTTCGTATAGATCTTTGGTATTGTTTCTTGTACGAAGAAAAAGAGCCTTGCATTCATTTTGCAATTGCCATTTCATATGCTAATATAAAATATACTATAAGTTCACAGAAAAAATTGATGTAATGCATTATTGAAATATGTAAAGATTACCTTAGTAATTTCTACAACATCCATAGAATTGCATGAATTAGTAGATATTTCAGATATTTTATCACTGTCTTGTATTTTAGTTTTCCTCCCGTTATGTATAATGTTGGCTAAATTTAAAACACTTGGATGTTGAACTACCCACATAGCAGCTTCGAGTTCATTAGATGAATTATAAAGCTCTGTTAAATCTTCTTGAGGTTCTTGAGTCCATTCAAAATCATTTTCATTATCTATCAAAATATTGCAAAGTAATCCATAAGTAGTTTTAGATTGTGTTATTTTTAAAATAATTCTTACTCTTATGTGATTTTGCTGCTGAATTTATTATTTTCGAATTTGAATTTGTTGCTGAATTCTCATCTATATGCGAAGGTGCTGTCGCAATACCCTTGCCTTTAGATTTTGTTACAGAATGTGAAGTCTCTGTACGTGCTAACTCATTAATATTATCAAAATTACAAGTTAAACAATAAATAAGATTTTATTAGTTCATCCAATATATATAAAATTTACCCATATACGATCTTTTAATGTAAAAAAAAAACAATACCATTGACAGAATAATTTAAGCCGTCTAAATTTAAATATAAAACATTTAAAAATTATCTAAATCATATATCTAATACATACTCGATACTTCTGCAGAATTATTATCTTCTAAATCGTCCTCTCCTAAATAATCTTCAACTAATTCATCTTCATTTTCGTTTAAATCTTCTTCTCGTAAATTGTCCTCTCTATTATCTATAATCTCTACAATATCATCAATTATTTGTTCTTCAGGATCTAGTAATATCAAAAAAAAAAATATCATAAACAAATAGTACATATATTTTTTTATCCTTGCAATAATATTCATAAGAGTATATTAAAAGAATAACATGCCGATAGGAGTTGCTTTTCTAGTGCGAGTTGCTACTTTTGCAGTTGCTACTTTTGCAGTCGCTTTTTTAACAGAAGTTGCTTTTCTAATAGGAGTTGCATTTTTAGCGGAAGTTGCTTTTCTAACAGGAGTTGCTTTTTTAGGTAGTTCCTGTGTGGTATGAACGTTCTTTTCTGTAAAAAAAATTTATTATTTAGTATAGAACTTCTAAGAAAAATTTTAAAAATATTAATTTACTTACGTAAAGATCTTGTATTTGGAGCCATAGTAATTTAGTAACAAAAAAATTTCCTGAGTAATTTATATATATTATTACATACTATATATATATCTTTTAGTCGTATTGGCATATTGCAATAATATTACATATTACTTTTAAAATACTATTACGTAAAAATTAGTATAAATATACCTTTTTCATATTGCAATAATATTTATGCAATAATATTATGCATCACTTTTTTAAAATACTATTACGTAGATATATATATCTTTTTAGTCGTATTAGCATATTGCAATAATATTATGCATCACTTTTTTAAAATACTACGTATTAATATATCTTTTTAGTCGTATTAGCATATTGCAATAATATTATGCATCACTTTTTTAAAATACTATTACGTAGTATATATATCTTTTTAGTCGTATTAGCATATTGCAATAATATTACACATCACTTTTTAAAATACTATTACGTGAAATCTTAGGTAAAGTCATATTCTATATTACACATTACTCTTTAAAATTTTGTGATTTTTCTAGTTAATTAAATCATATCACTTACAGTTGTATGCACTTTCATTTTGAAATAAATTATCAAAATAACAAGCTATGAAACGATCAAATAGAACCTCCAATCTTCCTCATTGCTCTGACGTTCCAAAGTTACGCAAAAAGCGACCTAAAAAGGACTTGCTTCAAAATAAATCACAAAAGATCAATATGAATTTTGCGGATGTGGAAATTTTTGAAGAAAGTGAAGAAATTGACGAAATCGAAAAAATTGATGAATTCGATGAAATTGACGAATATGATGAAATTGATAATGCCGAAGGTGAAATTAAAAAAACTAGAATTAAGGTAAATAAAAAATTGGCAGATGTGGTTAGGAAATTTTTTTCTTTCGGTCCATTGTTAGTTTTAAATGTTCATGATGAAATTTTTATGCATAATTTTTTTTTATGTATTGTTTTAAAAAGGAATTGGAACATTTTGATTTAAACACGTGCTTTACAAATATTATGTTTGACGTGCCATTAATCGATGACATTGAGGAAGATCCAGTAAATGACAATATTTTAGAAGAAAATTCCACAGAATTTGAAGGTTTTGATGGAGAGTACGGACCGTACTTTCCAAATTTTACGTCTGCAACATTGTATGTTTGGATCACAAAGCATATAATATGTAAGTAATGTTTTACAAAATTTCTGTATCGGTATTAGTCAAGTATATACTTTATATTTATTATTTTACCCAATTTGAGTCGTCCCGATTCAGAATCACCTCCCCGGATTGGAATTATTTTATATATGTAGTATTACAAAATTCTTATCCGGGGCTGTTTCGATTCTAAATGGGGACGATTTTCATCCGGGTATGTTATGTTTAGCAACTAGCGCATATGAAGACCTAGCCAAAATAATTACTCATCCTAAATTTCGCAAAGAAGATGTTATCGGGAATATTAGACGTATGCGTAAGTGGAGGTATAGGTTACCTCTACTTACAGTACGTCAACATGATGTGCCTATTTGTTCTCAAAAGGCACCATCTGCACTTGCATCTTCAAAGAAAGCATTTACAATATCTCCGTTAACATATTTGGAGCGTATATTAAATAATCCGGCAATTACACCTAAATTATACTTCGGACCTGGAGTAATTAAAAATGAAAAAAGCGAATTCTGGCACGGAAACCTCTGGCAAGAATCTCCGCTTTTTGGATCACATGATATAAGAAGCAATAGTGGAGGTTGGTATTGGAAAGTTTTTAAGATTTAATTTTTATAAAACGCACCTATGGTACTTATATCTATTATCCCAAAGCCGGCTAATAATTGGTATGTGGTGATCTAAGTAAAAATACTTCGCATTTCTAAAAATTTTTAAATTAAGAAAATTAGAAAAAATGTAAAAATATATATATATATAATGAGTTACAAAATTACCATAGGTGTGTTTATAATAAATTTACATATTCACATATTAAAAATTTTAAAATTTTTATTATTGTTTCTAAATTAGTAATATGATAGTTAAAATCGTGGATCTATACGTATTGGCAATAGCAACATGAAGGATTTATAGGATTCACGAATTTTAATTATCATGTTACTAATTTTAGAGGCAATGATAAATAACTTGTAATAATTAGAAATATATAGCGCAGGTGATTTTTTTTTATACAAAGAACTATCTACGGAATTCATATGCCGCATACGCGGCATTGTAAACAATGAAATAGATAGTTCTCGTATATTAAAAATTGACCAACTATTGCAACACAACAAACTCCCTAATTGTCAATATAACAGTCTCCGGCATACCAGAGGAAATAATAAAGAATTATGGCTTGTTGAAGGGGATCCTGTATTCGTTGATCCAAAAAATATTTTTCAACGTGTCAATGTATGGTTTTTAGATTTACCAGAACCTGACAATTATGATTTCTATGTTCAAGAAGTTATATACCGTTTTGGTGG